TTGTTTACGAGCTGCCCGTATTTTCACATCCGAACTGTTTCCACTACATTTCATTGATATGCGCCGCATAATTGTATCATACAGTATATATACTATGTACTTATTGAATACTGCAATCAATTATTAGGGGGGTAAACGAAGGGAAACAGTTCTGCCCAGTGGCCGTCAGTATTACCCAGAGTAGGAGAAATTTATAACCCCAGAGGCGGATCCGGGAGGAGAGGTGCGAAAGGTCATTCTCCCTCCCAGCGGCATAGGCATCACTACTGCAAAAGTCCGGGTCAGTTCATAAATAAAAACCAAAAGTAGCAGTGTTACAACTCTATTCCTAGTTTTTGCATAGCTCCAGGATGGAGGGAATCCGTCCCCAGGAGTCCGTCCTGGATTTGCATCACCTGGAGTTCGAAGAGCGTTGTTGCTATCCAAATCAGAGGAAAGTTCGATCGGCGCGAAGCAAAATCAAAATCTCTTCGTGTTCGCTGTTCACGAAAGGTGAGGGCAATGGGAAGTGGTCGCACAACCAACCAATCACAAAAACTAGTACATATAATGCATTAATCCTGCCAAGTGCGATTTCGGATGATCACCCCCCTATTCCGTAAAACACCCTAAATATGCTATACAAATAATTTCAAATACTGCTCCAGCGCATGTAACACTCATATTTCTCTGCAACTAACGAAAAACACATCGAAAAACAGCAAATTTAAAATAAGTGACAGTCACAAGAAGCGTTCCTGGATTCGGCTTCTATCCTGAGAGTTGTCACGTGCACCGGAAATATTACTTATTCTCTTGAACACTTGAAAAAAGGTAAATTAAGAAACCATAATCGACTTGATATCAGTCAGTCCCAAGAAGGACTAGCCGTCCGGGTTTCGTAGCAACTGGATTTCTCACCAGCAACATTGAATGGAACATAATTTCCGAATTCAATCATTCTGATAATTGGTTCCTAAAGATGCCATAACGCCGGTACACCTTCAAATCATCGCAAACAGGAGGAGGAAAACATTAGCTGTGCTTCAGAAGAGAATTTTTAATGGGCAACACTTCTAATGCGAATGAAACACACGCATACAAGCGCTGGAATTGAGGAATCAACTTATTTTTAGTGCAAAACCACCTGCACATTTTACTTTTGAAAGGAATGGCAGGCAAACAGCACTC